GTTATCTAACTTCGACAGAAACGGATGCTGGCTCTAGGAGTTTCCAGTTTCGTGTCAAGGTGTTTCACAATGTTCTTTTTGGGTTTGTCCTAACACTAAACTCAGTGTTTACAGAAGAGGAAACTGTTCTTATTGTTCCAAATATACTCTATTAATATTGTACTAATATTTTCCACCACAGAATCTGTTTATATCTTACAGAACAAAGGCTTGTGCGATGCTCAGTAAAAACTGCACAAGAATACAAAATTGATTTTCTGTATCAGTCAAACAGCACATTGAACAAATCTGCTTTTCTTCTACCAGACTGAACCAACAATTTCATTTATAGCTTTCTTGATATACAAGCAAATACATCCACAAGTTGGATGAGTGGAAAAAAATAGCATGACAATTCCAAATTCCTTTCACATTTTATTACAGAATCTCAAACTCTTTGTTTCTTTTCAAAGTGATATTGTACTTTCTGCTTTGTTGCTCAAAGATTACTGCTCCTCTCCACTGTGAACGATTTGACAGCTAACACATCGTATAATTCTCTACTACCCTCTGATTTCATCTCTTCACAAGACTCTGTACCCTTCTCAGAGCCATCAAACAACTCTTTAAGATTACTTGATCCCTTCACTGATATCCTCTTTCATCTTGTGATACCTCACTTACTGTGTTCTCTGCTTTACCTTTACCCTGCCTGGTGCCAAATCATTGAACCATTTCCCTTGAGTTTTCTGTCCAGTGATATTTACCATGGTTCCTTCCTTTTTGCTCTCTGTAGTGGTTTGTTGTCCACATTCTTGTGTTTTTGTGTGTATGAGCAGTTATGAACTATGAGCCACTGTACATTCATACTTTTTCCTCTGAGACAAAAACAGACACCACCCTCTCTTTTCCCTCTGCCTCTGGAGATGTCTCTGTCTCTGTAATCCTTTTTGGTTCAGTGGTCAGATTGATTCTCGTTATCATTTTGTAGGTCAGATTCCACCAAGAAAACACACACATGCCACTAAATAATATTATTCACTACAGTAGTAGAAGAGCAGTCAGAAGTGAGTGGCTGTCGTAATTTATCTACTCTGTTTGATGACTGACGGGACAAACAAGTGTGTGCATCTGTTGGCTCCGAGTCATGGCACATTGACCAGAGTGTCAGGGAGGAAGGTGACAGACTGGAGTGACAACTTCTGTCTTCTCTTCCTCCATCTCACACCTCTTTTCAGATGAGACACTGACCGGGCATTTCACACATTTTTGGGCTTAACAGCATGATATGGACGTATCCTCCATCTCATTTTCTCCTCTGTGTCATTTTATCTGTAGTTTTCCTCCACTCCTGTCCACTCACTCACATATCTGACTCTGTGCTAGCAGCGTGGCTGTAGGGATGGTAATATTCGCTGGGTGGCAGAGAATGAATCCTATTGACTTTTGTGATGCCCTGAGTTATCCTCTCACCACCAGGAGGTTGATATGTGTGGTTTTAAGAGAAATGTTTCAACAAATTATTGGATAGATTGCTGTAAAATTTGGTACTCGCATTAATGTCCCCCTCAGGATGAATTGTAATCACTTTGGGGATCCACTTTTCACCATCAGGCCAAACTTCTACTTTGTCCAATGCTTTGGTTTATGACCAAATACCTGCAAAGCCAATGCCAATCCCATTTGTCTCAGTTGTACTTTGTGCTTAGTGATAATTAGCATGCTAACATAAGATGGCGAACATGGTTAACAATATACCTGCTTGACAGCAGCATGTTATCATTGTCGCTGTGAGCCTGTAAGCATGAAGTTAGCATTTATCTCAAGGCACTATTGTGGTCCCTGTGAAATTCCGAAACATGTTTCCAGCTAATACATCACAAATACGTTTAGCGGTACACCTGTAGTCTGAGTTTAGTTTTAATCAAAACTAGTATACAGTTCTGCATACAGTACTTCCATCATAATCCAACCACTGGATTACGTATCTGAGGCAGTAACACATAAAGTCCAAATGAAGAACAAGCCTAAGGCTCAGTCTCACACCCATGATGGCTTTCTATTTTGGTAGAATTTCTTGGTAGGAAGTCATACAGTATTCCTCAAGCTGCGGTACAGTCTCATTGAGGTAGGAACTGTTAATGGTTTCAATAAAATCATACTGGTTAGAACATCAATAAGGAAATATTGAGTCCAGTTTAAAAGCTTATCAGATGCTAATTATTTTCCTCTGACACTGGATTTTACACTGAAAACTGAAAGCAGTAAGTTGCTCCTCTGTCTCAATGAATGAAAGAATGCTACATGTTAGATCCTACTATACATTTTACCCAGAATGTAATCTCATATATTTGTCCAGGCAAAGTGACATTGGAATGTGCTGTGACAAATGTTGCCCCAGGATCAAATTACTGCCTGATAACCCCACTTTTCGAACCGGAGCCCTCTGCACAGGCAGTGGTCTCGCTGAAATGAACGAGGAGTCTGAAGTCATACGGTGACTTGAAAGATCATCTGGTTAATATTCCAATTTCTGAGACAATATTTCTTGCTGAGGAATTTCATTTTCATTTTCTTACTTTTCTTACTCTCTTTTGCATGTCTAATCAAAGCCACTGTTTGGTCCCACCTGCAGCACAATTTTTCCAAACATTTCCATTGCTATTTGCACCAGAAGTAGTTTTTTCACCTTGGCTATACACAAGTCTTGAATGAGAAATATTTGGCCACTGAGAGACAAATCACAACTAAATGTGTAATCACTGCTGGCGCTCGAGCACAGCTTCTAAATCTGTCGCTTGGGGACCGAAATAAGAGAGGTATTTATGCCTTTGGAACCACAGATGTGTTTACTGTGAGGCAGTGGTTAGCACTGTCAAAGACCCTGGGTTGCAACCCCAATAAAGTCAAATCAAGCCATACTTATTTTAATTTCAGATGTTTGGTCTTTCAAATTCAGAGCTAGCAATGCAAAATGAAAGAAGCAGTCATTCCATAAGAAAAAGACACCTCCATTAAGAAACAGCAGGCTGTGCAGCTGGAGCTGAACACTTGTCCCTGTCCATGGTTCACTCTGTTTCAGTTTACGCTTGCGCACTCTGATGTTTTGTACTTGAGATCAAGTTTCAGACTGCAAGACTACTCTGCCGCTTGGACAAGATTAGCAGGGGCACAAACTGTGTTGCTGATGTTTATAGGGCAGCAAGAGAGATGACAAACAGCAACACTGGGGTTAGAAATCACCTGTAAGAAAAATGTACCAATGTGCAGCACTCTCAGGTGGTTCGGATCTGCAAACTTTCAACAAATGGTACACGTGCCCCTCTTGAATATATCTAGTGGCATGTCTCCTGCCTATATCTAAAGAGAGTGCAGTGGCTGGGTATCATTATGCTCCCACGGTGCTTTTTGTCCCTAATTGTACCCTGTCACCCTGTGGAGAACAAATACATGAGCGAAATACACAAAGGATTGTACTTGTCTGTGAGTTGTGTGCCAGAATCCTTTTGTTTCTGTAAGGAAATGATTGCAGACCCTTTTCTTGTTTTACATTACAGTGAGTTCAAACAGGGGTGGAACATAGGAAGGAGTAACAGACAATGAGATGTGACAGCCGCAGCAGAAGTGTGTGTGGACCACATGCTGGGGTAGTGGGTAGACTGGTGTGTGTGTGTATGTGTTGGCGCAAGTGGGTGGGTAGGTTGTAGGCTGCACAAATCGGCTGCTGCTCTGTGCTCAGTGTTCTTGTTCCTCAGATAATGAGAGAACCTGCGACTGCAGACTGTGTGACTGTGTACGAACACACTCCTGCCACTAACACACACACACAGGCTGCGAACCAGTACAGTTTGTGCGTGGCCCAGTGTGTGAGCGACCCTGTCTGTCTATGTGATAATGATTCTCTAATGAGCGCTGCTGTTAGCACATTAAAGAGACAGGCTTCAGAGCCCTCCCTGCGTGTGTGTTTCTGTGTGTGTGTAAAATGGAAGTGTGATTTTGTTCCGAGTAAAGTCAGCGTGGTCTCCACGTTGTCTGTTATTATCATAGGATAACCATTTACATTCAAATACACAGAACCGATGCATGTTCTTTGAGTGTGTGTGTGTGTGTGTGTGTGCCTGTATATGATCTGCCTTATATCTAACCATTACCGCAGAGCATTTTCAGTAACATCTGGCCTTTTGAGAACTCCCTCAAACAGCACAGCCAAATCTAACTCTATAACTATTTGATATAAGTGGTCAATTCTTACTGAAATCAAGCATGGCCTCAGTTCAGGCAGAATATGCTCTTGTACTGGCTGATCAGCATCACAGTTATTGGCTCATTTGCTGCTGTGTGTCATATTCAGGCAGGTGTAGAGTATATGAGAGACACTATCACTGTTTACTTTAATGATCGCACTCATGCCACTGCTGTTCATCCCTCCACCACCCCAACCTCCTCCTTATGTGGTATTTTGCATCATCTGTCCTATGCTAGTATTTATGAGTGTATTTATTGTGTCCTCAAAGTGCTTCATTTATCATTTTATATGTTTGTATGCTCTTTCTCTTTTTCATCACTGGATTCATTTTTTTTCTCTTTTTTCTTCCATCATTTTTTTCCCAGGAACAGATGGTGTGTTCTGTCATATGAATGGAGCCCAACTTGCTCTAATGCAGAAAAGCTTTCATTCTGTTTTCTGTTTTTCTCTCCCTCGTGCAGTGTTGTCCAGCTCCTGTCACTCCTAACACTCCTTTATTGCTTTTTTTCCAGATTTAGCCCTTGTCTGTCTTTGTCCTCGCCCTCCGTCTCCACTTCCACAACACTATATCACTCTGCTTACCATTCTTGACACCATAATCATTATATTGTAACAGATTCTCTTTTTTATCTTGATGAAAATTTCAAGTAACTGAAATTTGAGATGCATCAGTAACATCACATAAAAATGTGATTTCTTATTTTCCCTTTGTGTCTTCTCTCCCTCCTTTCTCTCTCCATCTCTCCCCTTGCACAACCCCTCTTCCCCTCTGCAGCAATACTTCACTCTCCTCATTATAACAGACGGTGTCATTAGCGATATGGACGAGACACGTCACGCCATCGTACAGGCGTCAAAGCTACCCATGTCTATCATCATCATCGGCGTGGGTAACGCAGACTTTGCTGCCATGGAGTTCTTAGATGGAGACGCCAGCGTTTTGAGGTCCAACACAGGAGAGGAGGCTGTTCGGGACATTGTGCAGTTCGTCCCTTTCAGGGATTTCCGTAATGTGAGTACTTCTGTCAGGCTGTTACACAATGAAAACCAGGGGGATGACACGGAGCCTGTAAGCACATTAAAAAAAGAGAGAAAGAAAGAAACTGCTTGTACTAAACGGTTGAGGTTTACTGTAAAAAAAAAAAAAACAATTAAGAATTTAGATTGGTGTCAGGTACGTTCAGTCTTAACTTCCAGATACTTCATTTTCATTTTTTCATTGCACTATGCTATGTAGCAACGCCCAGTCTAACAGTCTTGCACACAAGGTACAGTCTGAGATCCTTGTTCTCTTAAATGGGTATAATTGCTATCCTCAAAACTTATATAGGTGTCACAGTAGCTGCCCGCTTCAAACCAGTGAGAAGAGCTCAGATAAAACAGCACGGACAGAAATGTGTGAAAAGATGGTTTAAAAAACTTTGGTAGACAACTTTATGTTCATGTAGGCTCCCATCACTAATAGTAAGCTGATGGAGAAAATAGTTTCCAGGGCCTTTGTATGTTTTTTCTATCCAGTGGTCTTTTTAAATGAGTTCCAATCCCAGAAGTGAAAGTTGTGCTACTTACTTAAGGCGTTTTGAGTTGGGTCCAGTATTGAGTGAGAGAGCTGCAGCCTGCAGCCACAAACCGGCTACAGTGTAATCCTTATGAGCAATTGGTCACCATCCCTATATGTCCATTGAAAGTCTTTGTTTTTGATAATGACTGGCAGAGAAATTAAAAGGTCTCTGTTCATTTGCTTGAACTGCTGTGTGTTCAAGGTAGTCTCACTCAAAGAGAAGTCTCGAGAAATATCAAGGTCTTGATTGAAAGTATTTCATATTATTTCAGTATAAGTATATTAATAGGTATATTTACAGTACAATGCACTTCAAAGTTTAGGCTGTGACAAGCGCTTCACCGAGCAAGCCCTAAGAGTCCACTTTATTCTACCAAAAGAGACCAAAAACAGAGCTAAAACAGAGTGATTATTGGACTTACATTCATCAAGTGGCCAAAAAAAAAGACTCCAAATAAATGCTAATGTTCCTCCATATCTGCTGAATAGTTCACCATGTTAAATTATTATTATTATTCATCAGTCATCAATCTTTTTATATATTTATAGGAGATTAGAGCTAAATTTGTTGCCTATTGGTCATCTCTCTTGTGTAAATCAATTCCCTAGTGCTTTTATCTTCAGATGTACAAAACTGGTTTATCAGGATGTATAACTCTTACACTGCACAACCATGCTGATACACTGGACTGTGACTTAAAATGTAAGTGAGCAAAATATTAATATTTTACTATAAATGTAATGTAAAATGAAACCTTCAACTTTAGTGTTTGTTGAAGGCCTATTTACATCTTTTTTTAGATATACAGTACATATACAACTATATATATATATATATATATATATATATAGAGTTGTATAGGTATATGTATGTATATATATATACTGTATTACTGTTACTCTCTACATAAGAAGTATTTTGGTATAAAAAGCCACATTTCTTTCTCAACCAAGTATCATAAATACATTTCTTGATTTGCAACAAACCAAACTGCTTGACAATTGTTTGACTATTGAGGGAGTTATTCGGATTTAAATTGTGAAGCTAATGTTTGGACTTGCCAATGTGATTTACAGTGCTACTTTGACTCCATCTTAGTTCTGCAATAGAGGCTTTACCTAATCACATGATGTCATGCTGTCTTGAGTGTGAATGTGTTACCAAATGGCAGCCTGTTGCTACTCAGATTGTAGCTGGTCGCAAACCACACACACATACAGAGTGTGTTAGATGAGGAGAGCTGCCTGGTTATCTCAGACTCGACAGAGACACTGTTAGTGAGTGTGCAATGTTCTGTGTTGACGAGCATACATACTGCGCATATAAAAAGTGTTAATGTGAGTGTCCATACATGTGCACTGTAGGTGAGCTCATGGACTGATTTGTGTGTGTACATTTGTAGGCTGTACACAGGAGGCATTTTTGGTCAATTTTGTAAATTTTCTGTGTGTGTGGGCTGGTGGTGGGCGATCTGACTTCCTCTGTAGTGGGAGGAACAGACAGTGTTTGCTGGCTTCATTCCAGTGCGTCGGTGGGAGGGTGAGAGACAGCAACAGACATAATAGAGAGGAAGAGGGAGAAATGAAGCTGAGACCAAGGAAATTTAATAATGAGAGTGACCTAAAATGATTAGCTGTGTTGGCAGGCTTACTTTCACTACAAATTACTGTCTTCATAAAGTTGGTGTAGTTGGTGGTGATTAGATTGTCTTAAGTTACTAGCTGTTGTTTGGAACCTTTTTTGTTTATTGTCTCAAAAGTAAATTAAACTATTTTAAATTCAACCCTAAATTGTACCAGAAGCCAACGAAGCCAACATCAGGTTGATATAGGAACACTGTAGAGTCATAGTAAGCAATCGTGCAGGAATATTTTGAACTAATTGGGCTACAGGGTATTTACTTAAACAAGATAATAATGCATTACAGTAGTCCAGATGTGAGGAAACCAAACTGATTGTTCGAGCTGTTGAAAAGACGAGAGGGGATGCAGCACTGAATAACTTACTTGAGATTTTTCTCAAAGTTGAATTGGGAATCAGAAATGGCCGCTTGGTTTCTGGAAACCAACTTTGGGTTAGAAGCCAGGAAACCTACCAAGGAATTTTGCAGGGTCTAATTTGGTGTAAATAAATATTTGTGATTTTTAACTTCAGAAAACTGACACATCGAGGCATTCATCACATTAGGATAATTATGTAAAATAGCCAGTGGTCTGGTTTCATAAATATATAAAACTGGACATCATCAACATAGCAATGATAAGAGACACGGCAAAACCGATAGATAATGTGGAAGCATGTAATGGGATACTTAAACAGGTCCCACAATTGAACCTTGAGGGACTCCACATGACAGAGTCTTCTACAAGTTTATAGATATTTCAAAGGGAATAGAGCTAGACCAATAAATTAAATCACTATCTGTGTATGTCTCTTTATAAGAAACAAGAACAGAATTGGCAAACATATGTTTGTGATAATTTAGAAACAGTGTTTCCATTACATATTATGTCCGTCAAAGAGCACTAAGCACTAAGCTAATTTTTAGTACATATTGTGTTTAAAACTCTTAAGGGGTTCTTATTAAAATGTATTAAAGTTTATGTTATGTGTTTATGAAAACCATATATCAACCGATATGTTATTTTTAGATTTTTAAACTTTATTTTTTATTTTTTTAAATCCAGTATTGGTCTGGCTATTGTAGGAAATAAATAGTACATGATAAGGGGGGCATCATAGAGCCATTGCAAGAGGTTACAGATGACAAGGAGGCAAGATGTGGAATGCATCTAAAATTGAATAAATCTGATTCACAATTTACTCAGAACCAAAATGTCATGTAAAGTACATTATGGAAAGATTGTTCATTATTGAAAAAAATTGGCAATTCTCATCAAGTGTCAGCACTTCAGGCAAAGATTAATGGTGTTTTTCAGGACAGAAAACTTAGTACTGTTTTGTGTTTTATGTTGGTATTTCTAGCACTGTTGTCAGGGAAGTAGATCTTTCTGTCCATACTGGTGTTTTCTTTGAGATGTCTGTCAAGAAAAGGTATATAAATTAGCGTATATGTTGTCTTTTTATGCAGGCTATGTCCATGTCAATAAGGTTAACACCAGACTCTGCTGATTCGCTCTTTGATAATTTTGACCGTGAAACTCTTTCAAACTGAAAGTTATTGATGGTATTGCACCTGAAAAGATAAAGACCATCTCCGACAAGCAGAAGGCACCATGGAGAAACACCTCAGCTGTGACAAGTCAGAAAAGAGAATGCAGGAAAGCTCAGAGAGAAAAACACATTTTCAGATTCACTATGACATTTTTAAGGAGAAGCTTTGTATTTACTGTTTAGAAGCTAACTAATCCCCCAACAAGATTAGCCTCCGACTTCCTTTCTCTCGAGTGTAATGAGTTTGCAGCTTTTTTGGTGGAAAAAATATCAGGTTGGCCATAAATTCCTCCATGTCAACAAACTGAACAAGTAAACATCCAAAGTCCACTTTCAATGGGTGCTGGATCAGAAAACATAATATATGTTCTGTCTACTCAGTTGTAAAGTTTATGTTCCTTCCTGACTGTTTGAGCAAGTTGGTGTGTTTTTCCTTCATTTGATATAAGTGACTTGAAAAACAGACCAACAAATGTAAAGAGGAGCATACACTAGTAAAGTAAACATCATGCAGCCATCAGCCAGCTCTCTGACTGGAGAGATCACTCAAAGTGGGACCAAAAGAGACCACAATCACCAGAATTCTAACCTTTTTCAGCCTTCATTTTGCTTTGTGTGTTTGCAGTCATGAACGTGCTCTCTTGGTCTTTTTCTCTGTCAGGCACCCAAGGAGACCCTTGCTAAGTCGGTCCTGGCCGAGCTGCCTCAGCAGGTCACCCAGTACTTTAAACAGCGGAATCTACCTCCCACCAACCCGGCACCGGAGTGACATGCCCCAAAGACGAGAGCCCACACGCTGTACAATAGCTCAACAAAACCTCTCTTCTCGTTAACAGCAAACAATACAGAGTGAAAGTGTGTATATCAGCTGTGAACAAAAATAAGTTGTGGACAAAAAAACAAAACATTGAAGACATCCCTGTCATTATAATTGGAAAGTTTTAACTGGTTAAAGAATGTTTGGTAATATCCAGTGTGAATCCATCCGAACTGATATTTTCTGTTTCGTAAAGCTTTCCAGAACACACACACACACACACTATGATGATAATGTGTAAAGGACCTTGCATGTCTCCAGTAATGGCAGGTGTGTCCAAATGATATGGATATATATGAATATGCAGGTAAAACACTGGCCTTTTTTTTTAGAGAAATTAAAAAATATCTTGATTCATCAGGATGTAGTTTTCGTTTCTTTTGCATGTGAGTGTCTTGTGATTGATACCATGTGATACATACAACTCCTCGGTGTAAAGTCCTCTCTAAGCTGAAATATATCAGTGGTTGAATCCCCTCCTGTTGTCCTATGGATCCTTTCCAGGTAGCGGATCAGATGAAGGCTGTTTGCTTTTGTGCTCACATGTGGCGGACTCGCAGCCTGAGCCTGAACAGAGCACTGTTTCTTCACCCCGGCTCTGTCGTCAGGGTGAGTCTTGATCACCAGTCATCTGATAGGCAGGTTTTATTGCTCCACTGTGCTTATTTGATTCAAGAGGACAGTATCAGAGGAGGATGAGGCCGTAGTGGCAGCTGTAGCACTAACACAGGATAGATGTGGGATACTGTGTGAACTCATTAGGCTGTTAAATATGGGGCCGTTTTGCTAGCTTTTGCAAAATCCTTTGATTTGACTTCGGTTCATCCTGCATGTTGCCAATATCTACTCACTGTTTACAAACTGATGCTGATGATCACAAACGCATGATTTTTTTTCTTCTCAAATTATGTATTTATCAGATTTTGTAAATATTTTAATGAGATTCTGTTGAAAGGGAAAGAAGTGTTACATGGCACAGAACGTGTCAGAGAAGGCTTGTTAGTGTCTTTACAGAGTGGAAACAGAAGAGGAGTTTCTGATATGCATATGTATCGAATGTATATTTATATGATGCTGTTTATGTTAAGTCAATGTTTCTGACATGTTTTTAATGTACTTTTTATGCAGTGCTGAATTGTGTACTTCAACTACTACTATGTGTATTGCTGTGCATCTTTGTACTAAATGTGTTGCTATTGATTTTATAAAGTTTTGTCTATGTCCACACTCAGGTTAATAAACTGAAGGAAATGTCACATGTGCACTGTCTCTGTGGATATAAGAGCAGAACAACCACAACAATACACACGGGCTACAAAGACACAAAACGACTAGAGATGCAAAATGACCAAAAAGACATGAAAAATGACCACAAAGAGACAAAAAAAGACCATAAAGAAACACAAAACAACTACAGAGAGCCAAAACATCCAGATATGAAAAACGACCAGACACAAAATAACCACAGAGCGACAAAAACACGATGACAAAGTGGCACAAAACAGCTACAAAGAGACTAATTGACTACAAAGAGATGCAAAACAAGAAACAGGTGGGTGGTGACAAAAAAACCTTTGAACCAGATTTTTTGTTTTACTCCTCGGCTCTGAATTACAGCCTGCTGCTACCAGTTAAATGGATGTAGTGAATTCAGTTTACACAACGTCTGGCGTCAAAGAAACTCCTAAAAGTGACAAATAGAGGAAAATAGTTCCTGAAAGAATCCAGTCCAGAATTCGTCCTCATCGCAGCTCCATCCTTCAACCTTTTTGGCAGTACGTGGATGTGTTGGTGCTGCTGTCATTGGCACAAACCACATTAAACAAACTAATAATTGCCACATTGAAAGAAATGTGGTGGCAGGGGACTCATTGTCATCTATAGCATTTGTGTTTGGTACACCTCAAAACTCCACCCTGAAAAATCCTGAACTGATATCTTCTGTGTACGTTGGTTATATTATTTGTTGTCATGGTAACTCTTTTCACAGCTACACCAATGATACTGAGCTACGGCTGCCTTAATGATGTCAGTGAACTGTCCTTGGAAAGAAATGCTCGTTACTGGCCATGAACACAAGATAAAATTATCCTCCAGTCCCATCATCATCTCCTATACCGCAGGAGAGGACATTTTATCAGCAAAAGAGAGGCACAAACATCGCACTGCTTAGGCTGTTTAATGACACTGAGAGACTTAAGTACATTCTGAGATCATCTCACCTTGACTGCCACCCTGTTTTTCTGTCTTAATCAGCTAACTGAGCTCAGCTTCACACGCACAATTCTGCTGCCAAGGTTTTAATGAGGACCGAATACACATCTAAGAATCCAATTACCTGAATTAGTTTTGATCTAGTCCAATTTCACACATTAATTTTATGGTCCATGTAGATCTGGCTCCAAGCTACATCTGAGATCTTTTAACCCCTAACATACTGTTCCAAGCATCCATCTCCCAAACCTGTTCAAACTACTTTTATAGAAAGACTTTATGATATATTTTGTACCTCAATACTTTTTTGAGGTTGTATCTATAGCTTCCATACCTACCCCTATGCACAGGCAGCAAAATAACAGATCCACAAGATGGTGGTGCTAGAACAGCTTCATATTTTGGCCTGAGCTGTAGGGCTTATTAGATTGCTCCTTTTTAGGTTAGGAGTAATTCAATCTAGATTTCTTTTTTTTTTAGATCAATTTTAATAACTTTCTTGACTGACTTTTTAAGATGCTAACACGCTAAACGGGGATGGTAAACATGCAAATTCTCTGCACCTTCATTATGAATATCTTGGCACGTGTAGAGCCTCACAGAGCCGATGGTTTGGCTCGTAAGTCTTAAAAATTGACATTGGACTCATTTTACTGTGTAGGCTGTGTGTTAAAAACAGGCCCCTTGAAGGAACGCACTGAGAATAATTCAGAGGTCAGAACTAGGCTTGTTGCAGCACCTGTGACATTTTTGCCACACTCAGAGGGGAGTTAGTGCATTCCTAAAATGTATCATTTATTGTGTAAGCTGTGACAGTATTTCCCTCATTCAGTGGTATGCCAATAAGAAATCTGAGGGATCGCAATATGATCGGTCTAAATATAGCTATTTTCTTGTGAACAAGTTAAAAAGGAAGAATCACTCTTTGGGGTTCATTATTCATAATTCATGTACACACACACACACACACACACACACACACACACAGTACTTTGAGGTAAGTGGTCAGATGTGGACATTATCACACCTAAAATGGTTGAGAACCACTGACCTGAAGGAAGTGGTACCTAGTACCAGATAAAGACAATGGCTGGATTACTGCAGTTTACAATTTCCAACCCACATTTGGTGCCTGATAATAAAACAAAGTTGTTGGGGGGTTTTTTTTCTCTCAGTATCCTGCAAATATACTAGCTCAATGTCTCCTGTCACACACACACAAATACGCACAGTAAACACAGTACAAGGGAAAGCTCTTTTATTTCAGATCAACAAAACAAAGCTCCAACGCCTGAGACAGCAGCAAACAGTCCATCATCTCTCCAGCACGATGTGACTTTGAGACCAACTACTGATGAGAAAACACATTACATCACACAAATAAAAACAGGACTTTTCAAACCATTCAGACTTTGCTTTTAACCCAAAGAGAGAGAGAGTGAGAGAGATCAGGCTTGTTGCACGCCACCTTGTGAACATTCTTTTGCCCAGCACGGTCACGAGGTGAGTCTACGTGCATTCCCTAAAATGTATCATTTATTGTGTATAGATTGAAAGTATTTTCCCTCATTCAGTGGTATCGCCAATAAGAAATTGAGGGAAATCGAAATATGATCGGTCTAAATATAGCCTACTTCTCCTCTCTTGTGAACAGTTAAAAGGCAGAAAATCACTCTTTGGGGGTTCATTATCTCATAATCATGCACACACGACACAAACACACCACACACACCACAACACACACACAACACACACACCACACACACACCACACACACACACACCACACAACACACACACACACACACACACACACACACACACCACACACACACACACACACCACACACACCACACACTACTCTGAGGTAAGTGCTCAGATGTGGACCATTATCACACTAAACATGGTTGAGACACATATATACCAGAAGTGTCACTAGTACCAGGAAAGACACTGCTGGAATTCTGCAGTTACATTTCAACCATTTGGTCCTGTATAAAAACACAGTTGTGGGGGGTTTTTTTTTCTCATCAGTATCCACCTGCAAATATACTCAGCTCAATGATCTCCTGTCACACACACCACAAATAACGCACAGTAACACACCAGTACAAGGAACCAGCTCTTTTATTTCAGATCAACAAAACAAGAGCTCCCAAACCGCCTGAGCAGCAGCAAACAGTCATCATTCTCCAGCGAGATGTGATCTTTTGAGACCAACTCACTGATGAGAAAAATTACATCACACAAATAAAACAGGACTTTTCAAACCATTCGGACCTTTGCTTTTAACCCAAAGAGAGAGAGAGTCGAGAGAGATGAGAGAGAGAGAGAGAGAGAGGAGAGAGAGAGAGA